ACACACACGTGACCAGACATGTGAACACAAGCAGCCTCGCTCTAAATAAGAAAGAGAAACTACAAAAGGCGAAAGGGTGCCGTCGTCGTGGTTGTCGTCTTGGTTACAACGAGATTGCCGCTTTTAGCAGCTCTTGGAGCGTCTTATTGTAATAAAGCGTGTGTCGGAAAGGAGCAAAGTCTAGTTGTACCTGTATGGGGGCTGGACGCTGCTGGTCTAAATCCTTTTTTTCTAATTTTTTCGGCAACCTTCACAGTATATGTTTCAATTCAACAAGACTGTTTTAAACTAAAAAGCATTATCCATAGCAATATGTATAGCCCAATAGGTGCAGTAATCTGCCATAGTCTGAAATAAAACAGTTCTGCTTCAATCCACAGTTAGAGAACCATACCGTTATCAAGACATAGCAGACCACAAATTACTTCTCCCATCTATTCAACTACATGTCTACATTCCTCTTATTATATTTCATTATTAATTTTACTCCCAACAGCGTGCTTATTTTCTGTTATTTAAAGAAACCCTGTTGCAGAGAGCCACACCAGTGCATACAGCCAAGATAATGAATATGAATTTAAAATGCATGTAGACAAACCCTGTTAACGTTGAGCAGATTACAACCAGTGACACTAAGGCACAATCCCCTCCTTCCTTGATTTATTTTCTATATCTCCTGTTGTCAAAAATATGCCATTGAGCATTTCCGTTAACCGTGAAAGACACTTTATATTTCCCCAGATGCGTGAAATGTTCATATTTTTAACGTGATCCATGAAACACCCTCATATAACGTTACACGTGTTAATACAAGCCGCAGCAGGTAAATGGAAAATGCTTGATACAATGTAGACACCTGTATGGCATAACACTTCCCTGGTCATTTATTTAAGACTACACCATGGAACTCACCATAAAATGTCTAAATGTGTACCTTAAACTTGGAAGTATCAGACAGTAATGAAGATAACGATGAAAATAATGATATTTGTGAATGCTGCAATGACTTGAAATGGTACATTTATTCATGTTGTTCGTCATTTAATAGCATAATAGTGAAAAAGTATTTTGAAAAACTAAAATGTCTGCTTACTCCCATATGTTAGGAATTAAAATGAAGCATTATGACATTTATTAGTTTCTCAATTGTTGTTTTATATGCCAATTATGAATATTATGATTATATATCTCTTGATAGACTTGGTAACTTTCGTTATTTTAATATCCATTTTATCGTTAACCGTTCCCCTTGACAACTTCACGCATGGAACAAACATATTGGAATTTTAAATCTGTTGAAAAATTAAAATGTGCTCCAGAATTGGTACTTGCAGAAATTGGAAGTCCCCTATTACGATTACTATTTGCAAAAAATTGAAATCCACTATTATGGCATTTATACCCAATGTAGAAAATTAGATAGTAAATAAAATTACGTTACATACATATATATGCCAGATCACGAGTAGGTTATGAAGAAACAAACTAATAAATGTTACGAATAAATAAATGTAAAACCTACAAAACAAGATATATTAAAATTCAAGACTGTTTGACATCACTTTTGACATCACAAGGGTCCAAAGACTAGTCTAGCCTGTTGCAAATTGAACTGATTCAAGAAGAGAAAATTCAATAATCTTGTAAGAGATTACTGGCGACTCCTGTGGTCAGAGAGTAGTACAAAAGCAGATATTCTGCAATTACTGTATATACTACTGTATCCTGTGCACCATAATTATACCAAAGGATATTTCAATCAAGACAAAAAGCTGGTAGATGTAAGAGAACTGGTTTCCGAATTACCTGTCAACTGCCATGTCCTATGAAAACCCCACGACGTCATGTAAAAACATCCTTGAAATTGTACTACTTATTCTATTTAGCAACCAATCAAAAACTGGGTTAAAGGTCGAAATAACTACCAATGGGGTTTTTCTTTGGGAAAATTTAGCCCACCACTTTGTGTTGGTCCACGTCATTGGCTAATAAGACATTCAGATAAAGAAGACAACTTGGGCACTGTTAATAGAATTCACGTGATAGTTTTATTTATGGCCGGTCCTCCTCTCCAAAACACGGGCGTAAAAAAATCTGGAGCAAAAGGTTAAATATTTCTTGTACATCAAGCTGTAGTTGGTATTCTTTCCTCGCTAGTTTGAGCACATTGTCATTGGAACGTGCCTTGGTCTTAATTAAATTTGTTGACTGTGCGTGTTGAATACCGCAATCAGTTAAGCTTCTTATTTAAGGGTATTGTAAGCCTTTATTATCATCCAGATACCGAAATCTTTTTGCTGATTTA